CTCAACGCATATGAAATCAGTGGCGACGCATCAGTCTCTATATCTCTCTCTCTAAGTGGGATTATTGTGAACGGTCTTAGAGCGGCCTGACCATCGCCCTATTCTCTAATTTTCGCAAGTTTGAACGACTTGCAGTCGGACAGAATGCATTCACCGGCAGTGATTCTGTAGCACCTTCCACCTCCCGCGCAAAGCCACGCATAAGGTCACGTGATTGCAGTTCTCGGTCGGTTTCCGGAACAGCCGCAAACTGCGCGTAAAGTTTGCCTCTCCCGGCTGTTAGAAAGTCCGCATGCACTAGTGTCTGCCCACCGCGGTCTGGCCAATCATTTTCAGGGATGATTCACACAAATACCGCTCTGTAGATGCTGCGATGACTGCTACGCGCACACAATTCAGGCACGGGTCCTCTCGCGAGTGGTTGTGCGCTTCTCTGACAGTCAACTTCCTCCAGTATATTTCCACTCCCTCTTTGCAGAATACACTTTCACTTGGCGTCTCACGTCAAGATCGACGGAACCGGGCCTGAAGATCGCAGCGGCAAGGGTTTCACCTATTAACTTAATCCTCCCCGATAGACGATCCGGCAACGATAGGATATGCAAGCCCCCGGGCTCGTTTAAAATAGGAATACTGATAGGAAGCATAAAAATAAGCTAACACCAGCAGCATTTATTCTTCTAAGTGTGTTTGCATAGCAACGGAATCGGAGGTGATATTGAACAAAAAGATAAACGAAAAGCGATCCTTATTAAAGGAAGGGAATTCGAATAACAAAACAACGCTATGCATGTCGTTTTATTAATGTAGTAGATAGCCCAGACCGAGGATAACTTCTCGTAACTGTGAAATAATAAACCAAGCCAAGCCAGGCTATGTATTTTAAACCCAGGGGTGCTTACATAGCCTCTGCTTACCTGGCGGTCGGCACGTACCACGCGTGTTGCTTATTCATTTTCCGTCCCTTTTCTGTCGTTTAAACGAGTTTGACACGCGATCCATCCGCCTTTCTTTCCTCCCCCCCCTCTCTCTCTGCGTCCAGACACCACAGCATGGGACATCACACGGATGGTGAATCAATTTACTCCTACTTCTCACAGCAGGACGTCTGCCATCCTCAAGCACACGGCATGTTGAATACCCTGCCCGAAGAGAACCATGTAAGTCGCATTTAAGGCCATCTATTCTACTCCCCATGACTTCTATCCAAATCTTCTAACCACATGGGTTAGACTTTTCTAGAGGAAGAGAAAATGAGGCATTAGGAGCAGAATAGGAGATGGTAGTCGTATTAGAGGAAGTAGCAGCAGCGATAATAGTATCACTATTG